GAATGAGCTGGTTGAAGTATGAAATTCTAAGAATGTGCTGGTTGAAGTATGAAATTCTAAGAATGTGCTGGTCGAAGTATGAAATTCTAACATTGTGCTTTCAGCGTCTTGAATTTGAAGATCTTTTGTATCATCGTCATTATCAGGTATAGTGATGGTGTTGGAAACTTGTTTTGATGAAGATGATGATGGTAAATTATTTGTGTCGCCATCGTCACTACCATCAGATCTTCTATTTGATGTTGATATGGAGGAAACTGACGACAAAGAGTTGTTACCTAAACCAAAAGATGCCCTTGCCATTTCTGGAGCTTGTATATGTGGTTCATTAATATTTTTATCACTATCGCTATTATTATCGCTATTACTATTGCTAATTATATTATTATCATCATCATTATTATTAGCATCGTTATTACTATCACCTTGACTGTTGTTATTATTTGATTGTGCGATTACCATTGAAGCTCTTGTATAAATACTTGACATGTGTAATGATAATGAATCAGATGAAGATTTGTCACGTCTGTTTCTTTTAATACTCAATCGTGAAGAACTATCACGAGAATGAGGTTTTTTAATGCTGTTGTTAACATTATTATTATGAATGTTTCGAGAAGCTCTTTCTTCGTTGTCATTATAACTATTATAGCCCAATGCTTGACCACTACCAACACCACTACTAATACTACCTTTCCTTCCCGTTATGGTGCTGAGATCTGTCGTTTTACCAATTACAATAGTAGTGTGACCGCCAACATGATTATTGTTGTTGTTGTTATTTGAAATCGAATTCCCTAACTCTTTAAATTTATTTTTAGAAGCCAAGTCATTGCGTTTTAAATATTTATTATATAAATTATTAAACCATTCTTTGAGAGTTATCTTGACTGATTTTTTGTCGTCTTCGAACGAAGATACGTTTTCTGATACAACGCTACGTCTAAAGTTAATACTCGAAGTTCCAATCGAGCCGATTTCCTCACCAGAATGAGAACATGTTATTGATTTATAGCCTTTTATTATTTTCCAAGCTTCTAATATTATGGATTTCTTTGCTGCAAAAACTATAAACATCAATATTCCTATACAACCATTGAAAAACAGTGCAAACATAATCAACGCGTAAGGTTGCACGTGAGGTTTTGAAATTGTTTCCGTTAATAAATGAAAGAATAAAAAAGTTTCGAAGGAAGAATGTATGTACATAGTTATTTTTACGTGATTTTTCATTTGGTTTGGAAATTCATTGGTTTCATGTCTTCGTAAACCATTAATATTTCCACACACATAAACTTAAACTTCTAATTTACAAAGTAAAAAGCATTAAAGACTAAAAATTATATAAATTTCTTCAAAACAAAACTTATTTTTAATGATGTTTTTTTTGTGTAAAAAAAAAATTATTCTCAGAAGAAAAGGATGGCGCATGAGTTAAATATTGAACATTATTTAAAATAAAAAAGAATTTATTGATGTAATAATAAAAAATTCAATATAAAAATAATATTCCATAAAGAAATTAATATTTTCAGTTGCATGTAATAATAATAATAATAGAGTTTTTCCCGGTCCTACTAAAGTAAGGTCATTCATATTTGTTAAAGAAATAAGTGAATATCCAATTTTAAACTTTAGCAATGTGTCACAAAAAACGAATATTAGAATTTAAACTCTATTTAGAAAAAAAGTTTTTTTACCGGGAAAATCCAGATTTTCCTTTTCCGGAATTTATTATATATTTTAGTATGGTTTGCATTATTGTAACTTATTTTTTCCAGTTGAAAATGTTGAAAATATAACAACCAAATTTATCAAGAAAAACCGGTTTTGTTTCGGGTTTTGCAGGAATATACGTATTAAAAATCACCATTACTAGAAATGTTGTGCAACATGTCAATTTTTACTAGTACGCCCACATGAAGTTTTAACCAGAAACGTGATATTTTGTACACGCATTCTTTGAGACTTATTTTATTTCCTTGCAAAAT